CAGGGATGTCGAACTCCAGGCCTTGAGGGCCGGTGTCCTCGAGGTTTTAGATGTGTCCTTGATCCAACACAGCTGATTTAAATGGCTAAATTACCTCTTCAACATGTCTTGAAGTTCTCCAGAGGCCTGGTAATGCACTAATCATTTGATTCAGGTGTGTCGACTCGGGGTGATATCTAAAACCTGCAGGACACCGGCCCTCGAGGCCCGGAGTTCGACACCCCTTGCCCTAAAGTGTATCAGTTGCTGTGGTAAACTGCATTTCTTGAACAGAGCAGCAGCAAATCAGTAATTAAAATGAACTAATTAGAAAGTTGATCTCCATGATCATAACTACCTAAATTGGCAGAAAGCATATTTGTGCCATCCACTAACTTGGAGGAGGCAGGGTTTATGACCTATACTGCTGCCAGGCACCAAAACTGAAGTGACATCTTTGCTTCAGTTTTGGGGAGATGCTGTTGTCCATGGTTTTTACAGCCACTGATATTTAAATCTGATATCTGATCTGTGTTTTAGACGAAAACTATTCACGTGGATGGTGTTTCTGCTTCGTCACTACACTGACACAGCGCTATGTATGCTTTGTGTATTAGGATGTGTCTAGTGACCTTGATGTGCCGGTTCATGGCGGTTGACTGCGCAGCCCTGACCAGACCCTCCAGCTCTGCACCGCTGTAGTTCTTAGTTTCTGCTGCCAGTTCCTTGACGTTGACGTCGGAAGCGAGAAGGTTGAAGCTTCGCATCTTGTTGGTGTGGATGTTTAGGATCTGGACGCGTCCCTTTTCATCAGGAAGACCTAGAGATTAGAATGAGGGTTAAAAAAAAAAAGAGTAGGAAAGTTCATTAGTATACAGGCTTCTATTCAAAAACATTCGAGCTGAGCTTCCAACTAGCACTAGCCGTAGACAGTATAAAAGATGGATATAGCTTCTGGGTATTAAAATGGAAGCCAACATTCAAATCCCTTAAATGTGCATTATTTGCTCCCACCAGGGAGGGGCGATCGTGGCTCAAGAGTTAGGAGTTCGCCTTGTAATCGGAAGGTTGCCGGTTCGAGCCCCGGCTTGGACAGTCTCGGTCGTTGTGTCCTTGGGCAAGACACTTCACCC